GTCAGCAGAAGCATGAAATTACAAATGGTTACAGTAGGAGATATAAGTAACGTTAGTAATAACTCGATCACAACGTGCGATTAGCTCAGCGTAAGTGTAAGGTTAGGCTACCGTTCTAGGAATCGTAGGTTCAAATCTTGGTGGCAATGCGATATGTTTTTCAATAATAATTAATTGTAGTTAATAAGATAAGAATAGATATGTGAAACCAGTAAATAATAAATTAAACTGGAAAAATAAAAATAACAAAATAAATTATTTTTTTCGTTAAAGCATAAAAAACCATTTTAATCAAATAAATTCATTAGTTTTCGACAAGACTTTTTATGTTACTTAACTATAATGACTTTCAAATAAAACAAATATTTTGTCAAACTAAGATGCCTTCATACTTAATATACTTGAACGAGCAAGAAAGATAATTTATTCAAATTAAATTGTTACAAAATAATCAAAATATTTCACAAAAAGAATATTGTGTCACAATCAAATAAATACAAAGTTCGATTTACTGTTTTGTCACAAAGACTGTTTAGTCAAATAAAACATACATAAATTTAACGATAATATTGTGTATACAAATTTCAACTGTAAAGAAGTTGAGCGTAAACAATATGTAATTCTTTTAAACATAAATTTAGTTATTTTATTAAATTTTTGTTTGACACACACATCTTTTTGTTGTCTCAATTAATGTTATTTAATGGATAATCAAAATAAATTCCTATTTAATTAAATATATTTTAATATCAAATAAACATTTTGTCTACAATAACTCAATTTAGTTGAGCCAAATCTAAAATCATCATAGTATATAGTTAAACAAAATAATATTTTACTCTTATTACATTTATTTGCACGTATTCGACCGCAGCATTTTGTTGTCAAATAATTTTTTTTCGTTGAACAAATTTTTTTTTCAGTGCATATATGTTTATTTACACATTAAATATATATATCTCATGTAAATGATTGCACATTACCCAAACGTATTATTTCGGAAATTAACTAACAGAATAATGACGTTATCAATTAATTGATTATATCAATTAATTATTTACATTAATTTAGCATTATATTAATAAAGCATAAAATTTTGTTTGTGCTTTTAATACAAACGTCTTACTGTTAAACATACATACTTATGTAGCGTCCAAAGATTAATATATCAAAAGTATATAAATTAAAGTATTAATACTTCGATAGCAGATACCCCGCGGCGCGAAACACCTGTGTCCACTCAATTGTTCTCTACGTATCTTCGCGTCGTCTCTATTATTTCATTACCTTTGAAATATTAATCTTGGTTGCTGACGAACACACGGGTACGCCTCCAATCTGTACGACGACGACGACGACGACGACGACGACGACGATGACGAGGAGGAAGAGGAGGAAGAAGCACGAAACGAACATTGTGCGCACGCCATAACAGCGTAGCAATAACAGTGTTCCATTATATGTAGCTACACCGCGAACGACGAGATTGCAAAACATGCCTAGATTAATGTTTTCTCATTCCGCGGCTTTGTTGTGCAACGCGGGGACGAAAAGAGGAGAAAGGGAAAGAGGGGGAGGCTGCGGACAGATAGTGGCAGCATACCCTCCCCTGCTTGTTTCTCGGAGTCACGGTTTTCTCCTGTCGACTCTCGTTCTCCTCCTCCCCCCCCCCCTCCACCAACCAACTCCATCCCATTCTATATACAATCGCGTCATGCGACAATGAACAGTACGAATTACGTTGCATTCTCTTTTGCAGCTCTCTTCAATCGGTCCTCCGCGCATACAATTCCGCGGTGCGTTTATTATTCCGCGTTTGCGAGGAAGAGAGTTCCCAGCATAAAATAGCAGAAACAGTTCCTGAGTAAATTAAAAGGAACGTCGGATCAAATTATGACAATCATATACCATATCACACAGGGTGTTCCAAAATTCGCTTTTCGTTTTATTATAATAATGATTAATTTGTATTCGCATATAAGCATTCGTAGAATATTATTGTAGCATGAATTTGTCCTAGATTGACCTTCAATGTCCTTATGTAATATAGTCATAAACTTGCTTTAAAAGGGTTTTAAATGTGATATAAAAAGTACAATATTCTATTACAAATGAAGTTGACTTTAAAATATCCCTAATCGCCTCCACTTATAAAGTAATTGTTTCCACTATATAATGTTTCCCTTTATATTAAATACGTTAGCATTTCTTATAGTATACACATATCTTCAAAATTCGCTAATAATTAAATCGGTTACTTTATATGAATCATCCTGCGCGCGCGCGTATGCATGCTTGCGTATACGTATTATATAATATTGTATACGTAAAATTGTTTTATATACAATATGTATATATGTCAATCATTAATTACAGATTTCGAAACATATATAATAACATATATAATTTTGAACATAAAATTAGGTCCTTTTCAGTCATGAGCGTATCGTGGAATTTTTTCGGGGGAAGTTTTAAATCAACCCAGGATTGTAACGTGCACCAATCGGAATAACAACGAAAAAAAAACAATTTTATTATTGTACTAAAAAGAGAACGTTACTGCACCAACTTTGTTGTTGTAATTACAATTCTTAATTCTTCTTTTAAAAACTTTTTTTTCAGAAAAACAATAATTACAACAAGACTGTATCAATTATAGCATATATTCTGTTTTTCGCGCGGGACAAAAATCGTACGAAAATTTTCCCTATGTTTGTCAAAGCTTGTATTGACAAATAGAAGTACATATTGAAAATTAGTTATATGATCTTATGAAAAAAAAAATATTTGATATAACAACAAAAAACTCATATAAAGTCAAAAGTTGTATGTGTTTTACGTTTAAAAATGGAAAAGAGGAGTTTGATAGAGTATGTACAGCCGATCACAGAAAAGTTGCAACACTTTTTTCGACGGGTTTCGGAATACAGTTTGCTCACTGAGCGATTAGTTCTTACTTATGGCCACTTTATGGGTTTATTCGGCATATTTTCAAGAATTTTTTTTCAGTAGTAAAATGCAATTAATTTAATCAAACTTTTTACACTTTATTTGTCACTTATTCAAGATTGTATAAAAATTTTTTTAAACGATTTCACGCATGCGCGGCTTCAAAATGGCGGCTGAAGTGAAGGTGGAAAAAAAAGTTTGGACCCTGAAATCTCCAGTTCTAATCGTCTGAAACAAAAAATCCAAAAAGATTCTTAAAATATATGTTAGTGGCTATATCCCGTAGTAGAATGAAACGATTTGGGCATTAAAAAAAAATGGCGGACTTTAGAATTTTTTCACCCCTTTTTTACCCCTAAAATCGTCTAAAAAAGGGGTTAAAAGTAAACGAAAAATTCTAATTCCACTAGGGGCTAAAACTACATAAATTCTGAACAACCCCTGAAAATTTCAGCCCGATCGGTTAAATAGTTCTCCCAAAATCGTGGTCCAAAGGTCGAAAAACGTAGTTTCGAGAAAAACGCGTTTAAAGTTTTGTGTTGACAATTGTTATTATAGTAAAATTATAAAAAAAAGCTTCTTACGCTCAATTGGCGATGCCTGCTCCATACATTATGCCTTCCTGCACATACTTAAGGTACCCGAAAATGATGCTTTTGGGAAATCGAAAATTTTGAAAAATAAACCCATAAAGTGGCCTTATGGATCTAACCATTTACATTCAACCGCTCTATGAGCAAGGTTCCAAAATCAACTGAAAAAAAGTGTTGCAACCTTTCTGTGACCAACTATACATTGTCAATCCAAAATAAAATATTCTTATTAGTAAAGCAGTGAAAATTAGATACCAAAACCGATGTGAATGGATGTGTGCTATTAAGATGTCCGCTAATGGGACCCTCTCAAAACGAAATACTTAATAAAAAATTTCGGGGGGTTTGAATCTCCAAAATCACTTCCCCTCTCACGTTTATGTTTTCAGTATTTAAGTACCAATATTGGAATAAAATTAACACGTTGTAAAAAGATAGGCAGATACAATCATTGAATCATCGTTAGGCTGTTGTCCAAAATTGAAAACTTCATTGTTGTCTGTGGTATTTAATTGGATCCAAACAAGAATTCAGAAATTTAAATAAAATCAAGTCAAAATATGAATTTTTTTTAAGTGCTTTGCGTAGTCAATGAGTTAAAATTAATTATATCAATTAAATAAAACTTACATTCACTTACTCATCATAACGATGATCTGTTATAACACGATGTGATTATAATTATGTCTTGAGAGTGTGTAAGAGGACGTTTCGTATTCGCAGTGTTTATAAATATAATGTTAGAATAAATATTAACATAAAAATCTCTCTCTCGATAATACATATATATAACTTATAAAACAAGAAAACATCATTGTCTCCTAATTAAATCATAATATAACGGATCCGGCAACTCCGCGTTATTTTGCAAATTAAGGCCATTTTCATGTTTCTTGATATGAATTGCTTCAAAAATTAGTTTTTTTATTGAACTCTTGTTCTTTGTCTAAAATTTTTATATCGTTTCAATCAGAATTGTGATTATGCTTTATTCTATGCTCTATAATTATTGAGTGTTGTATGGTATTCCTATTTATATGATTCCGATGTTCATTAATACGTATTTTTAATAACCGTTTCGTTTGGCCCACATAGGATGCATCATAATTTTGACAATTAATTTTGTAGACTACATTAGAATGTAATAGTGAAGAGATAATTTATCTTTGGTGCTCTTATAAAGGAATTTAGTTTATTAAGTACTATGTCTTGCGAAAAAACAGATGATTAAAAGTATCATTGAAAATGAATGGCATTTTTAATAGTATTTTATAATAAGCTGAATGAGTTTTTACAATGGTACAAGTTTTTGCAATGGTACGAGGGCAAGTCAATAAGTTTTTAGAAAAACATAATAAAACACATTTTTTTTATTGATTCATTTTTATTTCTCAACATAGTCTCCTTTCAGCTCGACACTTGATCCAACGATTCTTCAACTTTATCAAGTCGTCCGAATAATATGATTTGTCTAACCCTTCAAAATAAGCCTCTGTTTCGATGATGAGCTGCTCTCTGGTGATGAATCTCTTTCCTCCGAACCATTTCTTCAGGTTTGGAGACAGGAAATAATCGCAGGGGGCTAAATCTGGCAAATATGCTGGATGGGGAAGCAATTCGTAGCGGAATTCGTTGAATTTGACCATCGGTGCCGAGCACGTGTGAACCCCGTGCATTGTCTTGATGGAAGAGCACTTTCTTCTTCGCTAAATAAGGACGTTTTTTCTTTAAAATGTTGTTGAAACGGTGCAATAAGGCTGCGTAATCGCCATTAATCGTTTGCTTCGACGGAAGGTAATCGATATGAATATACCGCGTGCATCTTAAAAAACTGTGGCCATTACCTTTTCCGGCCGACTTCACAATCTTCGCCTTCTTCGGAGCTGGTTCACCCGGTAAAGTTCATTGTTTTGGCTGTTTCTTCGTCTCGGATGGAATCATGTTTCGTCCACAGTAATAAGTCGACGCAGAAATTCATCTGGATTACGTTGAAACATCTCCAAACATTGTTTTGAAATCGTCACACGGTTGCGCTTATGGTCCACAGTGAGCAAAAGCGGCACCCATTTTGCCAATAGCTTTTTCATATCCAATTGTTCGTGCAAAATTGAAATCTGTGTCATGTGATATGCCTGTGGCCTCAACAAGCTTGCGCACTTTCACTCGTCGATCAGTCAAAACAATATCGTGAACTTTATGAATAATTTCTGGCATAGCAGCCTCAATTGGAAATCCCAAACGAGGTACATCACATGTGGATGTATGACCACGTTTAAATTAATTCACTCAATTGTATACAGTCGCAAATGCTGGTGCAGATGTACTATGAACATTATCCAACTCGGCTTTGATTTCTTTCGTTAAACCTTTCATATGTAGATGTTTGATTACTGCACGAAACCCGTTTTTTTCCATTTTGCAAAAAATATAAAGATTGTTCGTTTTAATCGTCTACAGAAATAAAACTCCGCGATGAATTTCGTTCAAAATTTGACAGTAATCAGCTGAAAGATGCTACTTGTCAAAAAATAATGTGACATGACACTGCGAGTGCTCTCTGACAGATTTTCTAAGAACTTATTGACTTGCCCTCATGATATTTTATCACTGAAAATTTTACCACTGGCTAATAATGCTTTCAATGGTGCATTAATTTTATAGTTTTATTGCTAAAATGAGTATTATTATTGATTAATATTTTATTCCAGGATACATATCATAAAATTATGATTAAAACAAATGTTTTTCCCTGAATTCGGAAACTAATTTCATAGTGCTGCGAAGCGATCACCCTGGTTGCATACCGCCATCCACTATCCTCGATTTCTGAAATCGTATGGAAACCGCTGCACTTTGATGATCCATGAACATCTATATATCATATAATCATGAATGTTTAGCTGTGATACATCTATTCAATACATAATCTTAATAGAAATTTGTGCAGTTTAATAGAACATTCAATCAGTTACTGTCCAATATTTAATTTTAATGTTATACCGTCTATTTTCAGGTTACGAAATCATACGTTGTACTTTCGTAATACCAGTTATTAGTAATTTCATAGTACTATAATAGTTGTATATCGTTTTAGACGTCTCCACAGTCTCTCTCCTATCGATAATAGTACGTCACATTGGTACGGATTATGTACATGTATTTAAACAGTATGCAGTACAGGTATAGTATTGATACTATTGTATAATATCATGTACGCTTTTTTGTATTGTTATCGTACAGTTACGCTGCCTCATGGCAGTTCAGTAACAGTACGGTATTTTGTGCGGGTATCGCACGTTTGATCTGGGGGGTAATAATATTTTACTATTGAAGATTTTATTATCGGTCAGTGATAAAATCTTTAATAGTAAAATATTGCCATTAGTAAAATATCATTGAAAGCACTGCTAGATCGTATAAATAAGTAGTTTTCAGTGCAAATGATATTCCTATTGACAGTAATCCAATGGATGGGCAAAATACTATACAACTGATCAAATAATATTTCTATTAATGTATCCAATAGTAACTAATATACCATTAGTCGAATAATATTTCTATTGGATTACATCCAATGATAAAATATTTTACCACTGAAGGAATTTTCTTATTGAACGCCTGAAGTAGTAATATCATTTGATAATGATAAAGCCGTTGAGTCCGTATAATTTCATTATTAGTTTAAATGATTTTACTATTGATCTAAATGATAATATCACTGACGCTTTTCGCGACAGGGTAAGTCAAATGTACTGTTCTATTATTTTTAAAAAATCTGTTGAATTTGTCTGCTATTGAAGGTACGTAGGAAACAGTAAAAAATGTAATTAAATTATCAGGAGTGTTCTTTACGTGTGTATTATTGTTAAATTGTCCAAACTCAGTGTGTAACCTTCTTTTTAATGCTTCCAAAAATTAGACTTATAGCATAATCGTTAGTACGTAAGATGTCAATAATAAAACAAAAATTTTTTTGTTTTATTATTGAAAAGTTGGAAGCAATAATAATAACACTCTGTCTATCAATCCCATAATTGTCCCCAATTTATGGCCCGAGTGACACGAGAAGTAATTTAGATATCGTGCCGAAAACGAAGATTTGTGATACCAATCGTATATCACATATGCATCCTTCCTTATTAAGATTACATCTAAAAAATTCAAACAATTACCTAGTTCCATGATAAAATTTAATCTAGGATGGTACCTATTAAATATACTTAATAAATTATCGATATTTTACTCCTGTGTGTATTGATAATGCAATGTCATCAACATATCTAACATAGAAACCCAATGAAAACAGTAATCTTTCAAGAGAAGTTCTTTCTAAATCTTGCATAACAAGATCCGCTACTATAGGCCAAGTAGCAAGCAGCACTTACAAATCGTTAACAAAGCGCTAAAAAAGCGCATATAATTGCTTTTTTAGCGCTTTGCAAGCGCTGTTGTGCTACTTGGCAGGGGAAAGTAGAGACCCAATAGGAAAATTTAGTTTGAGTATCCAACTAACAAAGGAGGTTAGACAACTCAAAAATTCAAGAAATTCTGAAACTTGGTGTGCAAGAAGAATAGTTCATCAAACCGTAACACAAAACTATTTTTTATTTGTGCGGAATTTCAGTTTTAGAAGGTAAAACACCCCTTTGAAAAAAATCGGTTTTTTTCTTTCGAAGCGAATATCGTCGGAACTATAAGGGATAGAAAAAATTTCCACATTAAAAATTGAATGGCTTTATAAGTACTACAGAACTGTAATAAAAAAAATTTTTTTTAATTAATTATTTACTGAATACCCCCACTATAACCCCTATTTTCAAAAATTTGTTAACGTTTATGTAATTAAAATTAAGAGTATTTTACGCTGAAAACGATGATACATATGATAATTGTATTCCGAAAATTCATTTTCCAAATATAAACGAAAATTTCTCTATTTGCGAGCCCTGTACGTATTGATCTCATACCATGTTGGCTGCGCGAACTAGCGTGAAAGACAAATGCAATACAATCCATCAATACAGTATCAGTACAGCAGCAACTATTGAAATAAGAGCTATTATATAACAACAATAACAATAATAGTAATAATAATAATAATAGTTTGTCAAACTGGTTGCAAAACTAGTTTCATATAATATATTTTGATAGTGTATAAAAGTATGCACAAAACACTTTGGACAATTAAAAACAAAACATGAATAAAGAAATTATTATTTTTATAAAATATCATGTATTTAATTTTGGTCTTAAGAACGACTACTTGCAACATAGTGAAAAAAAAGATACTGTATCAACAGTAATTCCGCATGAATAAAAAATAGTTTTGTGCTCTAAACGAACTACCTTATTTCCACGCAATGCTTCAAAATTTTCTGAATTTTTGAATTGTCTATTTCTCTGTTAAGTGCCTATGCGTACGTGGCAGAAAAAAATCGGAATCAGTAATGTCCATGTAATGAAGCCTCTGGAATTCTAAAAGGGAATAAATATGGAATATTGAAATTATTGATCCAATATTTATTATTTTATTAAAAATAATTTTATTGATTCAATAACACTATTAATAAAACAATTATAATCAATTTTTGTATTTAAAGAAATTCTTGTTTAAAGAAACCAAGTCGTTGAATTTATAAAGTCAGTTTTACTACGTTTGATTATTAAAATAATTCATAAAGCGATATATTATATATACTTACAATTAATTATTATTAATATACGAGGTCTGTTCAAAAAGTAACGCGAATTTTGAATTTCCGCGGGTTTACGTATATTCGATTTTCGATTTTTTTGTGGCGTTATGTTGGTACTCATGTCTCTCACTTATGCCGACAAGTTCGGCCATTTTGAATGTTCAGTTAATTTTTGACAGCTGCTTTGCTTGCACGTGTTTTGGCTCGTCTTCGATTTTTGCCTATTCCAAAAAATGGATCAAAGAATCTGTATCAAATTTTGTGTGAAAAACAAAATTAAGTGCGCGGACGCATTCCAAATGTTGACTGTGGCATATGGTGAAGCTACCTTGGACCGAAGCAACGTTTATCGGTGGTACAAAATGTTCTCAGAGGGCCGAGAAGATGTGAACGACGAAGAGCGTGCCGGACGCCCGAGCACGTCAACAACAGACGAAAACATTGATGAAGTGAAGAAAATAGTATTGGCCAATCGGAACGGTCAATAAGGAATATTACCTGCAAGTTATGCGCAATTTGGGCGAAGCAATCCGCCAGAAACGCCCGGATTTGGGGAAGAACAAAAATTGGCTTTTGCACCATGATAACGCCTCTGCTCACACATCGTTGCTTGTGCGCGAATTTTTGACCAAAAACAACACACTAATGATGCCGCAGCCACCGTATTCCCCAGATCTGGCCCCCTGTGACTTTTTCTTGTTCCCGAAACTGAAGAGGCCCATGAAAGGACGACGCTACGCTACGATTGAGGAGATAAAGACGGCATCGAAGGAGG